CAGAGGCATCCAGCTAGTGAATGGCAAAGCCAGTTTTATTCCCAAATCCCAACCCCAATCCAGTATTCTTTTTCTTTACCACCATACATCCCAGCTCTACCTTCTTCCATAATTCAGCTCAAACCACTCTTCACGCTGAGGCGTATCTCAACAGCTCAGACTATAGTAATTGCTTCCTCTTCTGAATGAATGCTCAATGTCTATAGTCCTCATTCAGTTCTTAAAGTGTGCTATCCTAGATTTGTGTGTTATCTATCTTGGAAGTTCTTTGAAAGCTACAGTATGGATTATATCACTTCTGCTGGAGACTCCAAAATTACTTTACTAAGGGGATTTTAAGGTACAATGTGGCTGGCAAGAGCGTGCCTAAGGGACTTTTCTTGAAGCTGAATTTGCATAGCAGGCATGCTATTTTTATTTGCAGTGATTGGGGGTGCATGTTACAAAGTTTCAGAACAGATTAGCTAGAGCCACTGCATGCCACTCTTTCAGCCACTACTGTCCTCTACTGGCTTGCCTATGATGGTGGTTTCCAACAAATCAAGCTGCTCTTCAAAATCACCTTGGAAGTGAGATTTATTAAAAAAAAAGATCCCATTCCAGAGCTACTGAGCTAGAATCTTGGGTGGAGTCTGAGAATCTGGTGTTTAAAAGCCTCTTGGGAAGTTCAAGTTGAATGTATCTGAGCACCTACTTGCAGGCAATAACTTCTTGTAAATGCAGGGTGGTCATCAAGTCTGTAAACACAAGCAAACATGTAAAAAATGCTTTAATTGATACGATATTACAATATACAATAATGTAACATTTCTGTTTCCCAACTCCCATTGCTACTGTTTAACTAAACAAGGAGGCCACTAGACTGAGGTGGCTTTAACACCTTAGTAGCCTATATAAGCAAACCAAAACGTAAGTCTGAACTGCCTCAAGGTTAAGAAATCAAAATCTAAGGACAATCAATCACAAACAGCCAACTTGGCTTTCCCAGATACGGTAAACACTTACGTTATAACCAATCAAATAATTTCCTTGCATTGCCTCTGCCTCTTCTCTATAAGTTTTTACCCTGGCTCCTATCTATGGAGCACTCCTAACCTCTTCTGGTTTGGTATTTCTTGATTCCAATAGATTTTTGTTCAAATAAACTCTTAAAATTTTGCTATGCCTCAATTGACGTTTTACCACTAAAAATATCATGCTCTAATCAAATCAATTTAGTAAGCATTCATTATTCACTGTGAAGGCTACAAAAGAAGCACGTAATAACAAAAATAATCATGGCTAACATCTATTGAGCACCTAATATATGCCAGGCACTTTTGTTAAATGCTTCATAGTCATTGTCTCATTTTATTATTTACCAGACTTCTGCATGGAGACTATAATCAGGGTTGATTTATCCACTAGGCTCACTAGCCATCATGCCTAGGGTCCGCTATACTTCTAGAAGTCCATGAAAATGTTTTAGTTTCTTTCAGAATCAAGAGGAAACATAAAGGAATACAATTCTCCCTCAACATTAGTCTCTATACTCACACAGTCATAAAATATAATTTGTAACTTTTTTTAACAGAGCAAGGAGCCCATGAAGGCAGCCTTGAGCCTCTCAACGTCATAATGCAGCCCTCACCATAATCATTCCCACTTAGCAGATGAAGAAACTGAGACACAATAAAGAAATAAAACTTGCTACACAGCTAGGAAATGGCAGAGGTGATATTGATATAGGCCAAGCGAGTAGCAGCCTGCCTCCCCCTGCTCTCCACTGGACAACCTTTAAGTGTCCTTCCCTATGGAAATGCTAAGTCTGCTCTTCTCTAGTTTCTTAGTTCCTTAGTCCCTGGCTTTGATTGCTCTTTTAATCAGTTTCTGAACCATAGATTCATAATCATAAGGATTGCCCCTAGACTGAATCACAGAATATCTCCCACCCCAGCTTTAGATAACTACTTAAAAGCCTGTGACTTCCCAACATTCCCCAAGCCATTCCGGACCTAACCCTTGGATAATCCCATCCCAGAGATTAAAGGCCAGTATACTTGTTGATTGTAAACATTAAAGTCTAATGTTCGTTCCAAACCTGTATCGACTCCACAACAATAGCGTTGAGCTCTGCTCTTTAATAAATTTATTAATTAAAATATATTTTTCCTCATTTAGGGGCCTTGGGGACACAGAAGGTACTCCAGCAAGATTGCCAGTCGCAACCAAAGAAGCCAACACAGTCTTCCAGGCGGACCTCAAGACCCCTTCCTCTCACCTGAGATCAGATAGGGTAAGAGTTCCATGAATCCCCCAAATAGGCAGGGACAGCTCTACACCCCTGCCCAACAGGAAGTAGATACAGAAGAAAAGTCCTCCTGTCCCTCAACTTCCCATCGAGATTTTATGGGGATCACATCTCTCAAGGGGAAAACAAGGCAGGCAGTTAGAGGCAGGCATTGGGTCTCTGCATTCCTGCAC